GACTTTAGACCAGGTTTTTGTTGGTCAATGGCGCAGTCTATTTTAGTTCCTCAAAATAGCAACGCGCCAGCAATGCGCCTGAACACACATTTTCAGACCAGCACGCCCATGGGCGCACAAATGGGCACAAATGCATTTGCTATTTAAACAACATGGCGCAGGACGTGAAAATGACAACTGCGTCAGGCTAAAACTAGCAAAAAATACTTGCGTCGCGCCGGGTGTATGATAGAGCACGCCCATGGGCGCACAAATGGGCACAAATGCATTTGCTATTTAAACAACATGGCGCAGGACGTGAAAATGACAACTGCGTCAGGCTAAAACTAGCAAAAAATACTTGCGTCGCGCCTGGCGCTGCATTGCGCCGGGTGTATGATAGAGCCCATAGTTTTTATGTGACATCACACACTTACAGGAACGCCCACATGGAGGGCAAAACAAGGCTTTCATCCACTGACCGCCAGTTATTTTTATGAGGTTTGCATTAAGTAGTAATGCAGTAATATCTTTAAAAGGCCAAATTCAGTATACACCTTATTGATGAAGCAAATGAACCCAGAATATGAACGCAATGCGCAAAGTTTAATAATAAATTTATTATTATTAATTTAATAAAGCACGCATCATCAATAAGGTGTATACTGAATTTGATCTTCTAATATCACTGTTTTAAAGGCACTTTAAGTGATTTCACATTAAACGTTTTAGAATGTACCACTGTTTTTAGTGATTGAAATATTGCGGTGGATGCTTTATATGGATTGCAAATGGCCAAAACTTGCATTTTGTTCACATATCTTTGTTTTTATTCTTTTGAGAGGTGATCTAAATGTTTTTGGATTGGAACAGATAGAAAATTGACGGGCTTGTGCTGCAGTTCTATGGATGTTTTGCCCTCCAGGACTCCAGTCACATGACTGAAAACTATGAATAGGTCCAGACAGATTTCAGCCTATAGGGATACCTACATTGGACGGCCAATTTCACATGTATTTTGTGTATTTTCAAAATACTGTATTTGTATTTAAATACATTTTTCCACACAGTATTTTGTATTTTTATTTTAAACACATTTTCATGCATTAATGCCCATCTCTCTATATGCGTTTGCATTTGCTTACTTGCTAAGAGTATGTTTCAGTAGTTACAAGTGAGTTGCAAGTGAATGTTTCTGAGTGTGTGTTTTTGTCTGGGTTCATGTGGTTTGGCAAACCTGAGGTGACTCTGTGGTTTGGTATCCTACAATGGAAGTGCGCCGTTTCTTCTGGACAAAGATGGCTTTGCGTTTCTTCCGCCGTCGTGCTGGTTTGGTCATGTCACCATCCTGAGCATTCTCCCCTAAACTTGGCCGACCAACTTTCCTCTTCTTGTAATATGCTACATCAGGCATAAATGTACACACACACACACACACACACACACACACACACACACACATGTATGATTATTGACAGTTAGCAAGAGCTACATGTGAGTCTCAGTGTATCTGTGTGTGTTTCTGGAGAAAATGATACCTTGCTCATGTGAAACATGTCATTTTAATTCCAAGTTAGAGCAAACATCACTTTTCATCACCATAAAGGAATAAAACACTCACTGTATTTGGTCTTGGTCTGACTGAAGCAGTTTTCAGGGCACTTGTCGGACACGATTGTTGGACCGAAAAGATTCAGACAACACTGAAGTCTCTCGCATACTCGACGACAAAACTCCGACACTTGATCTGCTGTTCGGACGATCCTCATGTTGGACCGATAGCTTTTCCCTTTATATCTATAAACAAACAAACGTGTTTCCACCAATAATCAAGAACATTATGAAAATGAAACATTTTAGATATTCAGCTCACATACACATGACTATCCTAATCAGCTGTCTTAAAATCTAATCTCATTATGCAAATGAAAGAAAGCTCTCTGTTCATTATGAATGCACTTTAATCTTGTATGTTTGCTAAATTATCAGTAATATTTTTGCTTTTAGAATGATACACACACACAGACTCAATAGTATTGGAAAGTCTTTTTAATGAACAGGTTAAAATAAATGATTAGCTTAAGTCATCAGACAAAAGTATGGAAGCTTGTTAACGCCACGGAAAAAAAAAAAAAGCAATTGTCTCACAATTCTGGCTTTTTTCACACAGACTCAATAGTATTGGAAAGTCTTTTTAATGAACAGGTTAAAATAAATGATTAGCTTAAGTCATCAGACAAAAGTATGGAAGCTTGTTAACGCCACGGAATAAAAAAAAAAGCAATTGTCTCACAATTCTGGGTTTCTTTCTCGCAAAATGCATGTGTACATCTCGCAGTTCTGACTTTTCTTCCTATCTCACAATTGAAAGTTATAAACTCATAATTCCGAGTTAACACCTTGCAATTGTGACTTTTTTCTCTGAATTGCGAGTTTGTATTTTGCAATTTTAGACTTATGAACTAATAATTGAGCATTTATATCTTGCAATTCTGAGAAAAGTTGCAATAAAACTCAGAATTGTGAGATAAAATGTGACTCTGCTTGTGAAAACCCAGCTAAAGTCTTGTTTTTTTTTTTGTGATTTACTGTTTTACATAAAATCATCCTTCATAATGTAAAGAACATTCTGTGAAAATGTAACCTTGATATCTTTAATATTGACTGAGTAAGGCCATGTCAAAGATTGAAATCATAGTCAAATTAATAGTTGAAATCAATTTTGATGCTTGTTATTATCTCATAATTAATTTTTTAAGACTTTAGCCTCGATTTCACAGACAGGGTCACAAATGTCAGTATGTGACCCTGTCTGTGAAAACCCAGCTAAAGTCTTTTTTTGTGTGTGATTTACTGTTTTACATAAAATCATCCTTCATAATGTAAAGAACATTCTGTGAAAATGTAACCTTGATATCTTTAATATTGACTGAGTAAGGTCATGTCAAAGATTGAAATCATAGTGAAATTAATGGTTGAAATCAATTTTGATGCTTGTTATTATCTCATAATTAATTTTTTAAGACTTTAGCCTGGATTTCACAGACAGGGTCACAAATGTCAGTTTATATCTCGCAATTCAGACTTTTTCTCAGAATTGGGAGACATAAACAACGCAATTTCAAGATATAAACTCACAATTGCGAGAAAAAAGTCAGAATAAATAAAATAAAAAGGATAAAAAGTTGCAATAACATTTTTACTATGGCAGAAACAGGATTCCATACAAAAGAAGTCAATTTGTTAATATTTCTCTCTTTTCAACTATTATATAGAACTGTAATATACTACTATAGAACTGTAATTAATTGTTAATTATAGTTAAGAACAATATGGATTAAAAATATATTTTTTTTTTTACCCCTAAACAAAGTCATCTATTAGAGTTGAGTGACTTCAACTGAATCAACAAAAAATAATTGTTCAAAAAAAAAAAAAAATGTAATTGGCAGAATGAATATTAGCTACTAACACACAATTTATATATATATATATATATATACAGTATATATATAAAACACTATTAAAAATGTTGAAAAAATATATTTCCACATACAAGTGCACAATTACATCAATCCGATAATTTGTCTTATGTTATGTCATAGGAAGGAAGCTAAGTCTGACAAAACCTCCATTTGACATCGCTGTTTAAAGGGGTCATATGATGTTGCTAAAAAGAACAGTATTTTGTGTATTTGGTGTAATGAAATGTGTTTATGCGGTTTAAGGTTAAAAAAACACATTATTTTCCACATACAGTACATTATTGTTTCTCCTCTATGCCCCGCCTTTCTGAAACGCGTCGATTTTTACAAAGCTCATCGTTCTGAAAAGCAAGGTGTGCTGTGATTGGCCAGCTATCCAGTGCGTTATGATTGGCCGAATACCTCAAGCGTGTGACGGAAATGTTACGCCCCTACCATACTGTGATGATGCCCTGTCAGGCCGGAGCGATGATTCAAAAACATGAAAACCCATTATAAACGAGGCATTCGTTGCATCCAGTGTCTTTTTACGCATTGCATAACGCCGTGTAAACATAAAACCATGTCTGCATTTGTGATCGGAGAAATTACAAACAACAAGCACTACTCTACACTGCTCAAAAAACTCGCTTTAAATATCAGTGGCAAATCCTTTAGTTTAAATGAAAACATATCGTCCTCTTTTGGAAGGTCAAACAAAGTAGTTTCGCTTTCACAACGAAGCACACAGCGTCTTCACGACATGGCTGCAGCGTCAACAATACTACAGCGAGAATAAAAGTTACTCCTTCTTTCTTTGTGTGAACATTTGGGCGGTGTTATGCAAATCTTCCCACATAGTGACGTAGGTATGTGGGGGTGTGTTAGAACGAGCCGTTTTAGGTAGGCGTGGCTGACTCTTAACTTTTATAAAGAATATCTCTTTGGATTTGAGACTTTAGTCTTTGCAACTTTACAGATCTTCTTTATGCACCAAGAGCTTGTAACACTCCAAAAAGAAAGGAAAAATTGAAATCGCATCATATGACCCCTTTAACAAAAAAATCTATTATAATGTTTTTAATTCTACAAATACAAAACCTATTCTTTTATGGATAGGTTTAGTCTGTGTACATTTTAATTAGCTTTATATAAATCAATGTCTCTGGTATATTCTCATTTAGATAACTAAGTAAACATGAATGTGTGTGTTCATACTTGGCTTTCAGGGTTTCCTCCTGACAGTTCCACTGTGGGTCTTCCACCATCTGTAGTTCTCTGAGCACACGGCCAGGTTTATACGCTGAGTTTATTAACATTGTCAGAATCTGTGAGAAAATAACATCACTATGAATACATCATGATATGCATTTAATGAATAAATATATACAAACAAATTCAAACACACCTACACACAAACACATGTGCATAGCACGACAGCTAGTGGGCAGTTGATATGAAATATCTAAACTCCATCTAAAACTATTTTACATAATATTTTACTTATTTCTATAATAATTGTTGATGCATAACTTTTATTACCTCATTTTAATGTAGAATTGTAATTAAATTATCACACCCTATTTATAATGGACTAGTGAAGGCAAATAGTTGATTAAAAATGGGGGGGAAAACTTGCAGATTCAGCATCTACACTTTTATTTATGCTGTGCATTCATGTAAATTAAAAAAAATCTAAAATTCTTTATTATTTGCAACAAGTCAACTACCAATATAAGAGAGGATTGTACCTCTTTGAGGACTACAGCACACTTGCCGGGCCCCACGGCCTTTGGTAACTCAGCGATTCGGCCTTTGTTGAGATACGGACCAGAGAAACAGCGATGATTGATGAAGAGCTGAGAACAACTGTACTTTCCATTCACCAATCCTAGACAACACATACATGCAGTAGATTAGCAATAATTAGCATAAAATCCAGTTCTGAAGACAATGGTTGACATGAATTAAAATGAATTGGCTGTACTGTAAATGCAAAGCTCTGATGGAATTATTGGTAGACTATGTAGTAAATATGTAAAACCTGTATCCATGGCGATGGATGAGCACAGGTTAAGAGGGGCATCAGGAGGCTGTGAGGGGACCAACCTAAAATCATCCATCCATCCATCCATCCATCCATCCATCCATCCATCCATCCATCCAACCAACCAACCAACCAACCAACCAACAAACCCAAATCAAGCTATTACCATCCTATTCAAAACTACAGAAAAATACAGCATCAACATATATTTTGGACAACAAAAACCGAAGAAAACCAGAAGTAGATGAGTCACATGCATGACACATTTAGACACAAACACAAAGACTCATGGTTAAAAATGTCCATGAGTACATCTACTCACTTTTTCTCAGGCTGAACAACAGCAATCTTCTTCTGAGGCAGGCCTGAAACATACCATACAAAAACATGACTCACCGGGGAAAATAGGGAAATTTCTAGGATTTTTCTCTGTTCTCTGAAAATGCCATAAAATGATTTTAAAAAATCTTGTTTGGTTTGCTTTCAAAGAGCAGAGTAAGGTATGCACTGTATATGTATAAGTGAGAGGTGACATACAACAGGTCTTGGTTTATAGTATATTGTCATCCTGTTGCACTGATCTCATTGGTAAAATGTCCTTTTTCACATAGCCGTATATTTTCAAGTCAAATATTTTAACATGAAATATCAGTGTTCTTCAAAACTTTTCACCAGAGAATTTCCATGAACTTTCTACACAAGAATTTTTATAAAAATTTCATTTACAAATAGCAATGCATAAACAATTAAACATTTTACAGCATGAATAAAGTCTGCACAAACAGTGTGTATGAAGGAACTGTCAGGATTGATTTTTTGACGGTTGTTTTGTCTTTTATTTTTCCGTATTTTCGAATTACACATTGCATTGTGTTTTGTTTTAGGGTTGTGTGGCTAAAAAAAGCCAAATTTGTTGCAGCATTTAAATATGTTCCTTTTTATAAAGTAAATGTCAGGCTGAACGCATATGTTGTGGTCACAGACATAAAATAATCCATAAGACTCACAGACTGTCTTTAGTAAATGTGTTAGTGGACAGCCGTTAGCTTCACACCAGCCCACAGGGAAGATATTCATACTCTCAACATCCACTATACAATCCGGTAACGGCTTGGTCAGACCTCAAGACAAAGACAGACAGCAGAGGTGAAAACTATGTCAACAACATATGTCAGTATGTCATATCTTTTGGTATTCACTGCAAGATCATGGCCTTGAGAGATTTCTATTAAATAATAAGCAAAGAAGGTTAACATACATGCTGTGTTCATTCCTACCTTCCAGTCTGAGCCAGAGAAGTCGACCTTTGACCTGAGTGATACGAGCGACGCAGAGTTCGGAAGGTTGGAGTGGATTCACGGCTTCAAGCCACATATCCTTACAGAAGCTCCTGTTCTGAGACGCCTGATCACACACAATGCAGAAAAATAGGTCAGTGGAGAAGCGCCATGTGTCCAATTACATGAAACAATGCATATCACAATAAATGCAAACAAACAGGATAATGAGGCAGACACAGTCAAGGAATTTATCTCAGATCCCAAAATAATTAGTGGAATTTGATGGACTTTAAAATTCCAGTGCTGGATGCTGATTGGTCAGTGCTCCAGCTGTGAGTGTCTAATAACATTTATGATGCAAAACATTATTTAACATCATTAATTAACCTTAGTTTACATGTCAGAGACTATATAGGGGGTCTGCAGAAAATCCGAGACAAACTATGTTGATTTTATAAAATAAGATATATATCTTTAATGTAACATTTTTTAATGTAAAATATATTTTTCAGGACAGTACTAAATGAAAAATAACATGCATTTTGTATGATCCCTCTTATTTTGCTAATATATATATATACATACACACACATATACATAATGCTGCTTTGTGACAATATTTATGCTCATTATAATTACAAATTTTAAATAATTACAAATATTTCTCTTAAGATTTATGTAATATAAGGTAATATAAGGTAGACAAAAGACACACTGTCAACTTAATACAAAGTAAATATATTCTTAAATAATATTTTAATAATGAAAAGGTACATATTGTCATTACACAATTTTTTTATTGATGTATTTATTCATATATTATACATATATAAAAATAAATTAGGACGTGTATGCCTTGGCAGGAAATCATCATATTTTATAGCCCCCGACTATGTTGTTCATATAGTCAACCTTGAACTTTACGAGGAACGGGAAACACACGAGGGGCGGGGTACTTCTCACAAAACCAAAATAATCTTTTAGCACCTTGTGTGTGTCAGTGTGATCAGCATTGCAGTGGGGAAACCCAATACTTGGCACATTGTCATCAGACTTTATCTAATTAAGAAGAAATCCCCAAAGTCTCGTTCAGATATCACCAAACCGCACACATGGCCATCTGAAGACGAGCTAGCTCTGGGGGCACTTTTGAGAGAAAGCCTTACGTTTGGGAAACACACGTCTGGAGCGGCTTCAGTGCCAGTGTGTTTGAGATAGTCCGCCCAATCGAAGTCCTGGGACTCAAAACCTGACAGAAAATGGGACATCAAGAAAAACCAAATGAGATTATTATTTTTCAATGTTTTTTACTAATTTCATTCTCTGATGCTGCAGTGCAAATGCTGTGGCAATACAAATACATACCACACTGAACTGAAAACAAAACTGAGATAAGAGGCAAACAGCATCGATAAAGACTCGTATTAAGTTAAAAATGAATTTAATAGAGCAAAAATCCCATTAACACTGTCACACCCACCTTGTGGCCTCTCCAGTCCAACACCATTCTTCAGACACCACTGCACTGGCTGGATGCCCGGTGAGTCAGCGTGACACACCACGCAAGTGGGCGTGGCTTCAGCTCTGAGGTCATCAACTGTGATCTGAAAGTAGTATTCATTATAGACCTGCAGAACAGAGAGACGTGTGAGAGAGAGAGACTGATGTCAGGGTAGGTGGCTAGTAATTATAACCTCTAGCATAACCCTTCATCTAGTGTGTGTGTGTGTGTGAGAGAAAAAGCGTACTTTAGTTACAGACACGGGGCAGATGTGGAAGGGTTCTTTGGGTGATACCATTTCAAGCTTCATTCCTGCCCTGAAGGAGTGTGTGTGTAGGTCAGCATGATCCTGGAACACACACACACACATACAGATATCAGTTGGGAAAGTTATCAAGAGCTTTGTGTAAAATAATGCCCCATTGCTCCAACTTCCCCAAAACACACACACACACACACACACATTCACACACCTTGAAGACCTCCAGTGGAAGGGGACTTTTCAAGGCTTTGGCTGTGGCTTCATCTAAAGCTTCAGTCCATTCTGAGCTGCTCCTCAAATCACACAGATCTGAAAGAGAAAGAGAGAAACACAAGCTCATCCATCCACCTATACACCTATTTATTCACCCAACTATTCATCCATCCATCCATCCATTTACTCAACCAGCTATATATCAATCCATCCATCATCCATACTGTACATACAAATATTTATTATTCCAACTATCCATCCATTCATCATCCATCCACATATTTACAGTATTCATCCAACCATCCTCCACCTACCCATCCATCCATCTCTCCATCCATTAAAGTATTTATTTACCAACTATTTATCAATCGATCCAGCATCCATCCAGTTATTCATCACTCCATCCATCCATTTAACCAAATATTATTCCATTTATCATTAATTTATCAATTCATCTAAAGTGTTTTATCTATTCATCCATCCAGTTATTCATCCAACCTTCCCCTCCATCCATCGATTTAACCAACTATTCATCCAATTATCCATCCATTTATCTAACACATCAAATCTATAAATTTTTTTCATCCATCCATCTGTCCAAATATTCATTCAACCAAATATTCATCCATCTGTCCATCCATTTAAGAATTTATTCATCCAACTGCCCATCCAGTTATCCATCCATTTATATATTCATCAGTTTTTTTTTCATCCATCCATCCATCCATCCATCCATCCAGTTATTCATCCAATCAACCAAGTATTTATTAAACTATTTATTAAACCACTATCTATTTATCTATCTATCTATCTATTGTCTGTCTGTCTGTCTGTCTGTCTATAACGTTTTATCATTCTATCTATTATTCTGTCTATCGCTCTGTCTGTCATTCTGTTGTTCCATCCATCCATCATTCTGTACTTCTATCTATCCATCCTATCTATTTATCTATCTATCTATCTATCTATCGTCTGTCTGTCTGTCTGTATATAACGTTTTATCATTCTATCTATTATTCTGTCTATCGCTCTGTCTGTCATTCTGTTGTTCCATCCATCCATCATTCTGTACTTCTATCTATCCATCCATCCTTCCATCATTCTGTACTTCTATCTATTCATCCATCCTTCCATCATTCTGTACTTCTATTTATCCATCCATCATTCTGTACTTCTATCCATCCATCCATCCTTCCATCATTCTGTACTACCATCCATCCATCCTTCCATCATTCTGTACTTCTATCTATTCATCCATCCTTCCATCATTCTGTACTTCTATCTATTCATCCATCCTTCCATCATTCTGTACTTCTATTTATCCATCCATCATTCTGTACTTCTATCCATCCATCCATCCTTCCATCATTCTGTACTTCTATTTATCCATCCATCATTCTGTACTTCTATCCATCCATCCATCCTTCCATCATTCTGTACTTCTATCTATCCATCCATCCTTCCATCATTCTGTACTTCTATCTATCCATCCATCCTTCCATCATTCTGTACTTCTATCCATCCATCCATCCATCATTCTGTACTTCTATCTATCCATCCATCCTTCCATCATTCTGTACTTCTATTTATCCATCCATCATTCTGTACTTCTATCTATCCATCCATTATTCTATGTAATCACAATAGTTTTGTTACTGAAAAGCTGTAAAGCAACATGATTTTTTTTTTTAAGTGATTGTAACACCTTGCTTCTGAGAAATGTAGTTAAAGTAATTGCTTTGCTATTTGTGGCATCGCTACCTCTCAACAGTTCTAAGAGCCACAGCAGATGCAGGTAATCACACTCAGTCGATCACTCACTCTTCTCAAAATAACTGCTTAGAAACAGTCATCAATACAAATTCTGAAGCAATGCTTTTGAGCTAGTAACAGCCTGAAAAAAGTCTTGAGATAAATATCTGTTAAACATATAATAAGTTGAATAACTGGTCTCTGACTGCCCATTGAATAAAAATGAATGCACACCTCAGACGTAAACACATCATTGTATTACCACTGTGGGTGTGCATTAATTTAAAAAAATGTAACCGTTGTCATCAGTTATCCCTTTCATATTACATAAGCATATCTGACAGAAAGGCAAGATCATGAGAGAACATGTCTGAACAAGTTATTTTGAATTTATTTTGCAAGGTTTCCTTTAGGGAAATGTGAATTCAGATCCATGATAATTAGAGTGTGGAAGTCAGACAGGCAGCACATAGAACTTGGCAATTGTGCAATGGAACAATTTGCATACGGGAGGGGAAGCCTCAAGAAAAATGTAAAAGCATGTCTATGAACTGCACTGCTTTAACTCAAAACTTTGAATGGAAAAAAAGTAGAGAACATGGTTAATCTATCATTTAATTCACACTGTTAATTTAATAAACACTGGCTATATTTTAGAGTCTAGTTTAGTCACTTTAGACCGATCAAATACAGGTTCATCATCCATCCTTCCATCATTCTGTACTACCATCCATCCATCCATCCATCATTCTGTACTTCTATCTATCCATCCATCCTTCCATCATTCTGTACTTCTATTTATCCATCCATCATTCTGTACTTCTATCTATCCATCCATCCTTCCATCATTCTGTACTTCTATCTATCCATCCATTATTCTATGTAATCACAATAGTTTTGTTACTGAAAAGCTGTAAAGCAACATGATTTTTTTTTTTAAGTGATTGTAACACCTTGCTTCTGAGAAATGTAGTTAAAGTAATTGCTTTGCTATTTGTGGCATCGCTACCTCTCAACAGTTCTAAGAGCCACAGCAGATGCAGGTAATCACACTCAGTCGATCACTCACTCTTCTCAAAATAACTGCTTAGAAACAGTCATCAATACAAATTCTGAAGCAATGCTTTTGAGCTAGTAACAGCCTGAAAAAAGTCTTGAGATAAATATCTGGGAATTCTGGGAATGTCAATTTACGGTTATTCACTGTAAATTGTACTGTATTTTTCACTTCCAAAAACAGTATACTACCGTAAACTTTATGTCCAATACATGTAATGTCCAATACAGTTTTTCACCGTATATAGTAGGGGAATTTACCGTTAACCATTTAACAGGTTTTTACTGTAGCATTTTTACAGTCTTTTACCGTTAAATTCACTGTCATTTTTTACAAGAGTCTGGAAAAATGATGATTCTATGTGATATGCATAATTTTGGGTTGAAAAGATGGATGCACTGGACAATTTCTTATTTCTTTCTCTTTCTGATGAAAAATGAAGTATTTAAGCCCAACATTAGGTGTGTAATTCAAGTTTATTCTGTGTTTTTTTTTCATATTTAATATTGTCTTGCAATCACGGACAATGACGGGAAATCATTGTCTGTGTAGTTTTGTTGAGCAAGCCTGTCACATGATCATTTACACATCTATTGCAGTCTTGTTTTCATTCATGTCAAGTTAAATATGTCGTCCACACTGATTAAGGCCCATTCTAATTATCTTTTGGCCATGATTCAGTGGTTCTCAATAATTTTGTAGCTAATAAACAGAATTGTGGTATTTGGTGCAAATTTATCTGTCACTTGTTAATATGGCTAATACTACAGTAATAATAATATTTGGCCCAGTGTTTGTTCCATGTGTAGGACTGGTAATATATATGGAGTTTGGCACTTCTGCTGTAGATGCTGTAGGCACTCACAAAATTGTTAATTGTTAATGTTAAGAACAGTTACTTTTGTACACTAAACATATGAGTATAGACATAAACACAAATGTCATTCTCACCCCTTCAAGCAGGTTTGCCGGTGCTGTCCGTGAACCTGTGAGCTCTTTGATTAGAAACTCAGTCCAGTCACTATTCTTCTCTTTAACAGCTGAAATAGATGAAGAAAGAGTGTAGAGTTTTGCACTATAGAAATTCAAATTCACATATAATTCCACACTTTTGTGCCTGGAATTATGTTGCTGTTCGATAGTATCTACCATGTGTGCGACTGACAGGACGAGTGTGTGTTTGTTTGTTTGTGTGCGTGCGTGCGTGTGTGTGTTTGTGGTTTTTACAGTGATAACCCCTATTAATGTTACAACTAATATAACTCTTTCATTTCTGGCTTTATCTTCTCTTTTGTAGCCCACTTGTATGTGGGTCAATATCCCATTTTTGGTGTTTGCATCAAATAAAATGTACAAAAGTGATTTTATATGCACAGAAAGCATATTAAATGAAAGGAAAGCGTCTACTTTAATGATTCACATAACTTTTGTGAAAATAAAATGTCCAAATATGGGTGAAATAATGTCCCATCATTCAGCGTAACAGATATATTTATTTAAAAATGAAACAACATTCTAACAGATATCTTTATGTAAACAGATATATTTACATAACATATACATTTATATAAAAATGAAACAACGGACAACAAAAGACAGAAGAATAAGTGATCATACTAAATTTTATTATATTTTCAAAAATGAAAAACTTCTTGCTGACAAATGGGTAAAACCTAGTGGTTTAAAGGATAGTGGCAAAGATTGGCAAGGATTTAAAATCACAATTAATTAATATGTTAGGGGCTGTGATCCTTAAATATAGTCTTTTAATGTCATTCAATTGTTCTTGATATGCCTGATAGGATTTTTTTGTTTTGGTATACAAACCACACTTTACATTTACAAAAAATTACATTTTTTTTCTGTAAGTCAAGGTAAAAATGTATTATTTTTTGCTCAGAAAAAATTAAACTGGATGCATTCTAATTTACAATAAATAAATAGAATGAAAAAGCTAAACTTTTATTGCTTGAAAACCCTTTTTCGTCACTGGCCCACATACATATGCTTATTTCAAACATCAGTGCACTCTAACATCCACAGATTTACGAATTTGCCATTTAATAGACTTCCTCTCTCAAATATCTTCCTACTTCCTGCCCCATGGTGTCAGCCACATAAAATATTCATATATGCATTACGAATGTATATAACAAGAAGTCAGTTCCTGCATTGTAACGTCTAAACAGGCCCAGACATCCTGCTTTTTGCATAATTGTACACAGTACCTCCACAGAGCAAAGTGCTACTCAGTTATGTGTTACAGAAGAACAACAACAAATTAATCATGACGAGGTGTGCACCGTTCGCTCAAAACTGTACGTTTACATCAGCAGAATTCACACTGCTGAAGTTCCTATAGGCGGCCAGCGTGGTTGTTGACTATTAGCTTTACTCTGAGAGCCAAATACTGTCCCTGCTATGTCACGACTGCTTCGCTCAATAACACATGATACCACTCACGAGTGTGTGATCTCTGCTCTGACGGAGGATTTGAGTAAACAAAGACACAGAGTGAGAGAGAGAGAGACACAGACAGACAGAAAAAAACAGAGACAGGGGTAGGCCAACAGTTGGATTTTATTACAGTAAAGGCTCAAAGTAAATTCAATACTAACTTTTTAATATACCAATGTATACAAGAATAAGCCAAAAAGATCTCAGTTAAACACAATGATATTATGAAGACAGAATATTTTGGCATACTATGCCGGCTGTCATACTAAAACAAAATTTGTTATATTTATATTTAATTTAAAAATATATACATTTTATATTTATTATTTAAGGCCTACTGATGAAATGTAATTTTTCAAGAAAAATCCTCTTTTTGTTGAAGAGGATTAATTTAAGAAGTTTTATCTTAAAGAGATATTTTACCTGAATATAATAAAAGAATAACTAAAAATTTTAACAGAAGTAAACAACAAAACATACATCAATATAGTTGACTTGTTTCCAGTGAATAGCTACAAATCCTTAAAGCTAGCTTTTAAATAACTTTTACCAGAAAAGCAACATTGCATACGATTTTCAGAGAATGTATTGTGATACGATTGTTATTATACGTTTATTACATATACAATTATTTCAGCTTATTGGTAGAAGAACACATTTTACTTCCGTAATGCTTTTTTTTTTTTGAGTTAAAGGGTTAGTTCACCCAAAAATGAAAATTCTGTCATTAATTACTCACCCTCGTGTTGTTCCAAACCCGTAAGACCTTCGTTCATCTTCGGAACACAATTTAAGATATTTTTGATGAAATCTGAGGGCTCTCTGACCCTCCCATAGACGGCAAGCTAACTACAACGTTCAAGGTCCAGAAAAGTACCAAGATGATCGACAAAGTAGTCCGTGTGACATCAGTGGTTCAACTGTAAAGTTACGAAGCTACGGAGAATACTTTTTTGCGCAAAGAAAACAAAAATAACTTTATTCCGCATTTTTGTCTCTACTGCGTCACTTTTGGACGCACGTTCACGACAGTATCATGACGCGAGCGTGTGGCGGCGCCGGCGCTGACCCAGATCCAGCGTGATGACATAGTTACGCCGGATCTGGGTCAGCGCCGCCACACGCTCGCGTAATGATACTGTCGTGAACGCGTCGTTATTTTTGTTTTCTTTGCGCAAAAAAGTATTCTTAGCTTCGTAACTTTACAGTTGAACCACTGATGTCACACGGACTACTTTGTTGATCATCTTGGTACTTTTCTGGACCTTGAACGTGGTAGAAACCTCAGATTTCATCAAAAATATCTTAAATTGTGTTCCGAAGATGAAAGAAGGTCTTACGGGTTTGGAACAACACGAGGGTGAGTAATTAATGACAGAATTTTCATTTTTGGGTGAACTAACCCTTTAAACAGGATATTTAGCGGGTTTTGTAAAGTCTTTTCAGAGTCTGAGCAAGTTAGTTTTAGTTATTACATTATAATTAAAGGGACTAAGATTTATGGTTCAACTGGAGCAGACAAACAGTGAGTAAACTTGACTTTTTGCAGTGTATTTGAAAATGTCTTCTGCTCTGTTATTGTGTCTGTCTGTCTTTCCGCTTGATGTTTTACAGACAGGAATAGAGCAACTATTTTTACAGATACACTTTAAATTTGTCGTCATCAAAGTAATCAGAGACTGTAGTTTTCTGCACTAGGGAGTCTCTATGCAAATATTAATTTTGCAAAAGTGATTTGCATATCTTCCAACAACTCTTCTGTAAACAGCGGAGCCAGATTTAAAGAGTTTCCCTCGCTCGTGTAATCAAAGCAATTATTCAAGAGAGGAATGGGAACAAAACACTGTGTGTTAAAGGGAGAGCAGGGAGACTCGCTGGTACAGTAGAAACAACCTGTTCTGTGACTCTGAAGAGGATAATATGATTTCCTGTTTGCCTGCCAACCGCTAGTACATCCAGGATATTATTTTTAACAGCAAAAAGGTCATTGCTTAATCAGGTTAATTCAAGGATATTTGACTGGTTTGTGTTTTTTAGGATAATTTCAATGGAAAATAACAACTTATTAACAATTATATATATATATA